CAAGGGGGGGGGGGTTAGAAGACTAAGACGAATCCATGGAAACAGAGAGGAGATAGAGGGTAAACAGAACACCCTAACCCAGGGCCATGTCAATTTAGAACTTGTGTTGAAAGTCAGGGCATTACACAAGCTTAATCGATGAGCACACACACCTCTGCTGTTCCCATGGATCCATCCTAGCCAATCAGATTCATGCATGGGAAAGACGGTAATAGCAAATGGTATATGATACTGTCTTCAATGAGGGTGGAATATATGATATGCGACATGACAAATTGCAAATGCTTGGGGTGTAAATGATATGTGAGTTGGGCTTGCGGTTTTAAAGAAAAATAAACATGACATTGGCATGCATGGTATCTGCCGCAATTGTTTTGTATTGATTTTGATCAAGGAAATGGTAGGATGGCTTACACGTGTGGTCAGTAAGTAGGGAAATGAGTTTCTATGAGGAAGGATAATTGAAGAAGTTGTGAACAATGTTTTCCATGAAAAATTTGAGGTTTTAAACCGCACTTCCAGAACAAGAAGGGGTATTTTTTGGGGGAGGGGTTGGTTATCAAAGGTACTTACACTTGAACTGCATGGTCATCAAAATAGACTGGATTTGCTCTGAATGGAAAAGGGAAAATTTCGTTCCAATGAATATCAACGGAAATGGAAAAGAAAACTGAGGGGTTAATCCTGACAACTGAAAACATTTACACCAAGGTGTCACTGTGCAATACTGGGTAACACTAAGTGGGCAAACCGAGGGTCTGCTGGCTACAGATTTTTTCAGGCAATATTTGAGATTTGCTCATTCTTGTTTCAAATTCCTTCAACATGAGCCGCTCTAGCTTCATCAGCCTGATCTACATTCAAGTGCATTGAAATCTGTGTACTTTTTTGTCGTTCCGAGGTCAAAAGTGGTTAACTGTTATGGAGTGGAAACGTGAATTCCAACCTGGAAAGACAATTGAAAAAACAAAAATAAAAAAAACAACAAAAAAACTAAAAGGAAAATCTTGTCTGATTCAAGATGATTAATGAAAACCAAAATCAATGCAACAGTTGCAACCACACTGAAGTTCAAATATGTGATCACTTACACAAATCCCTTTGGAATTATCCAATTGGAATTCAAGCAAGTTTAAGATACGATTGTAGCAGTCAATATACGATTGTAGCAGTCAATATACGATTGTAGCAGTCAATATACGATTGTAGCAGTCAATATACGATTGTAGCAGTCAATATATGGGGAAATTTGAGACAAGAATGGCATGGAACACAGACATGGGCTTCAGCTAGCTATAACTAAGTTATTTTTAAGTCATTCCATGTGAACGTGCTGGGGTGAGGGGATCACACCTAGGGCAGGTTTTGGGGGCACTGACAGCTGAACTTACGCTGATGGTGTGGTGAAAATCCTACCATCAGGAACTGAGGTGCCAGGACTGGCAGAATCAAAGGAGGATTCAAGATATCAGAAGTAAGCAGAGAAAATTGAAAAAGAGGGGGAAAGCATTTCCTTGCGAGAATTACAAAAGCTAACAACACTGAAGAAAGTTAAAAACATAAGCAGATCAGACCTCATAAGAATGAGAAAATAACTGCCAAGGTTTACTTTACAAGTGAAGGATGACCAATGATTGATACATCACAAAAATTGGCAAATCACATTAATAACAAGAGACAAGTAGTTGATTCAAAGTAGACCTGACGGCTCTGTGTGACCATCCAAATTTCTGTCGAACCAAACAGGGAACAATTAAGGGAGTTGATCTGAAGCTGAGCCAGGACAAGAAACTTTTGGGGAGGGAGGTGTAACTTAAACAATATCCAACCCGCCCAAAAAAAAAAAACCCAAACAAAAATAACAGATAAAAATTTAGACAATTAGGCTGACAAAAGATTAGGGAACGTTTCATAATTACAGAAGGCGGTATTTACTGCGGTGCTGCTGTATTTCTGCAGTACCAGCATTAAGCCCTTTTGGGTAACTAGTGCGGTGCCGCTAAAAAAAAACAGCGGTACCACAGTAAATACCGCCTTCAACAATTATGAAACGCTCCCTTACACATATTTCAACTGAACAGGTAACAAGGCAAATCAACAGAAGCAGTGTTACATATTAAGATTAGGGGATGGTGCAAAATGTCACAGCTGGCAACTGACGGTTCACCACAAAACACTGTTACCTTTCCTTAATTCTGCATTTTGTTCCTACAAAAGCCACCCACTGAATGTAACCAGCAATTCCCTAGCTCAAAAACAAACACACAAATACAAGCTACTCCTCCGAAAGGAGTCTGCTAACACCACACACCGATATTAAATGACTAGGGCGCTAACTCGCACTGCAAAGTGGCGCCTGCTGGGGCGCATCCATGTTTGTGCAAAAACTCATGAAAAAAAACCCCCAAAAACTGTGGTTTTTGTACAGCTATTTGCATATTTGTCCCTGCATTCTGAAAAGATGTACGAACACACGATACACAAAAAACCCAAAGCGCTCAATCAGTACTACAGAGAAAATTTTACTGAGGCTCTTCAACGTATCACACATGGACTGCTGATCTGCCCTTGTCTACGGCTCACACCACGAGAATAACTGAACTGAACAAACAAAACACCTCTCAACTAATAAAAAAGGGTAAAAATGCGGCTTAGAAAAGATGACTTTCAAAAGACCTACATTTCATGGTCCTCTGCCGTGGAGTAAGGATTGAAGGTGTTGTACACGGGCAGGTAGAGCCGGGCTTGCTTCTCACGTTCCATCTCACGTCTGTAGCCAAGAACCAAACTATACCTGTGAGCATGCTCGGTGTCGCATAACACGCCGACGGTGGTGGTGGGGGGGGGAGGCCGAGTGTGAGATGTAGTACGGGGGAGGGGCGGAGAGAAGGGGACGGGGGGAAAAAAGGACAAACACCGTGCAAGATATGAAACAGGTGAGAGGGCAATAACATGACACCAAGCACATACAATGGATCACAGCCAAACAAAACAATTAATGCCACTCAGCAGAAGAAATCATACAAAGCTAACAAAATACTGCATCCATCCTTCTGTCTCAAATAAGAACTAAAATACGGTTCTTGAATATTTCAGACAATGATAATCTGAAGGATTTAGGTTTCTTGTGCGTAGTGTGAGAAACTGAGAACCATCGGTAGAGTTTTGTTTGGGAAGAACGATAGATTTTTTAAAAAATAAATAATTCCAGCCCCTCTTTACAGCATGTTTTTCAGGGCACGGTTGTGAGGTGTGTCGAGTTTACAGATGTTGACGTTAATTCAAATTTCAAAATGTTAAGTATTGCCAGGATCCCTTGCAAAAAGAGAACCACTATTTCTCAGAATGACAACAGTTTCAAACAATGTTTCTATAAAACTGTCACGAATGAGACTCGTCCAAAAGCTTTCAATTTTTCCTTCGAATTCTGAAGGATGTATGCAATACCCAGTTAATGTTTACAACAGCAAGGGTTAAATGCATCCTCTGACTTGTTACCAAATGCTTCAATGCAATATGAAAGTTCTCTGCAATTCAAAACGGTGTGCTTAGCATTCACACAAAAATTTCAACAAAGGAAAATAAAAATATACAATGCTATGCAAACATAACACTACGTGATTACCATGGAAAAAATGCTAAAAACAGGTGCATTACACCAACACAGATTTCCAGTGTGCAGTAAAATTTACTTTCTTCCAACTAGCTATTCAGAAATTTGCCAGTAAAACTTCTTCGTATTTACACACTGACAGAATATCTTTGGGGAAAAAAAGGAGAAAATGCAAATCTGATTTATTAATCATTTGC